GATGTATGGACAGATGTGTAGATGGGCAATGATGGATGGTCAGACGGACAGATGGACGGATGGATGGATGATGGATAATGGGTGGGTAAGCAGATGGATGATGGACGGGTGGATGGATGGATGGGTAGATAGACTGACGATGGATGATGGATGGTGGGTGGGTGGGCAGATGGATGCTGGATAGGTGTATGGCAGACGGGTGGGTAGAAGAGTAGATGATAAGCAGAAGGATGGATGGATGGGTGGATGGATGGATGGTGGGTCGTGGGTGGGCAGATGGATCAGTGATGGATAGAAGGATGGTGGGTAGGTGGGTGGATGGGTGGGTGAGCAGATGATGGGCAGAAGGATGGATGACAGGTGGGTGGATGGGTGGATGGGTGGGTGATGGATGATGGGTGATGGGTGGGTAGGTGGGCAGAAGTATAGGTAGATGGATGGATGATGGATGGGTGGATGGACGGGTGGTGGATGGGTGGGTGGATGGGTGGATGATAGGCAGAAGGATGGATGATGGATGGCTGGTGGGTTACTCTGCCACGCAACACAACCTCCTGTTGGATTTTGAGCATTTACTTCCCTCAAAGGGCCTCTGTTCCATGGCCTGTCTACCAGGCAGAGTAGCCAAAGCAGCCAGCACCCTGCTCTTAAATAATAACTCAGAATGGACTCTCCAGTTCTCCTGGGCAACTGGACCAGCTTAACTGTAACCAGCTCTTGACCCCCACAAAACTCTGGGTATAATTTCCAGAGTTGTGCCACCCCCAGCCCAAAACAGCCCAGGTGGCAAAGGAGGCAGGGAGCTCCTCCACCGCATCCTTCCCAGAGAGTGTGGAGCTCCCAGGCTTCCAGGGAGCGGCTGTGGGACCACAGCAGACACTGGTCCCCCAACTCCTGCTCTTCTGTACCCTGACTTCCAGGGGGCGCCAAAAGGAAAACCTAGGCAGGGGCTGGGCCTGCCCAACCTCTGCTAGCTCCCTAGGCCGCAGCACCCCAGCTGTAAACCCTGGATCCAGGCTCCACTGTGGCAGGGAGGACTTGAGCCCGGGCCGGAGCAGGGCCAGGCAGGAGGCT